GCCACCGGTCAACAACTGTTCTCGCAACAATATATGCTGCAGCCATGCTCCCCTCCACCGTCCGAGGCACCTCTCAGTGCATAACAACAACTATCAATAAATCCTTTGATTGAGCCTATCATGATAACGAGAGGATATCTTGAATTAAGCTTATTCTGATGGTTGACCTTGTCTTTGGATGTTTGACGAATGACATCATCCATCCCATCACTTGTCAAACTTCATTGAAATTGTTGGCAAAACACACAAACCAATCAATCAATCTAGATTGTGATCTCATTCATTCACTTCATTTCAAACAACCCTTCATCTTTATAATTCATTCATTAGCGAATGGACAATAGTAATAGCAATAGTAATAATAGTAATGGTAGTGGAGGTGGTAGTAATGGCGGCATAACTGGCGGCAACACCAATAGATATAATCAAATGTTGCTAGAGACCTTCTACAGAGATACTCTACTATCATATCAAGACAGGTAACCATCCCAATCATTCATTCAATCAATCAATGACAATGCACTAACTTGAAGATTACAGACTACGTAAGGAGTATGAAGAGAAGTATAATACAAATATAGAACTGTTCAAGAGGAATTATGAAAGAGATATTGCCAATCAGTTGAAGCAACTACAGTTGGAATCGACACAGAGGGTGTGCGATCTGGCTATGATGTTCAAGGAGAGAATGGACCAGATGTCAAACATAAAGGAACAACTGATACAACATCAACAACAGTTGCAAGACACACAGCATCGTCTGGATGAACAACAGGCTCAATTTAATGAACGTGAACAAGGAATAACACAAAGAGAACAAGATATTACACAGCGTGAACATGGAATCAATGAGCGCGAACAAGGCATCACACAGAGAGAGAATACAATTGTTGAGAAGGAGAGAGCAATCGAACAAAGACAACAGAGTGTGGAAGAACGTGAGGATGATCAACTGAAGAGCATGGAGCAGCGAGAGTTGCAGCTCAGACAGTCCGAGTCTGCGATGGAGCAGGCCAACCAACAATTACAACACCAGCAGTTGCAGTTGCAGCTGCAACAGAAAGAGGTTGCTGATGCTGCTGCTTCTGCGGCTGCCGAGCAACCAGGCCGACAGATCAAGGAGAATGAAAACATCGGCATTGTATTACTACAACTTAACAAGGTCTCAGAAGCATTGACTGGCATGTTAACAACACAAGATGAGGTATGTACTCAGATGGATAGAGAGCAAGCAAGTGGTGGCGAGGTCACATACTGACGATGAGACGCCACTCAATCAATCAATCAATCAATCGAACAGTCTACGTTACAGTTTGACAAGCTTGCCCAATTGATGGCGGGCGCGATGGAAAGAAATGGAGATGAGTGATTGATCACTCGCGACCAGATGTCCAATGAATGAATAAACAGGCAGTGACATTGCCATCATGTAGTAGTATTGTACATTCAGAGCAAGCCGGCTAGAGTATGATTGAATGATGATAGATTTACATGTTGTCTTGTGTGCACAATCGCCACCTCATTTGGATGAAGAGTCCTTGACTATGATCTCTGGGAACAGTGTGACGAGGTCGTGAATGGTTGGTATGCAGTAGTCGATGTATGACTGGTCGGACGACGAGCCGACCAGTACGGTGATCATGCCGGCTTGTTTGGCGCCCTCCAGGTTCACGGCAGTGTCCTCGAAAAAGACGACGCCAGACGCGTCGGTCGTGTCGGCCATCTTGAGCGCCAGCTGGTAGGACAGCGGGTGTGGCTTGGTGTTCTCCAACATGCCATGATACTCAAGCACATCGGTAAAGCAGTCCTCCACGCCCAGTGCCTTGAGGATGCGACGACAATGTGCAATATCAGCATTGCTAAAGATTAGCTTCTTGATTGATGGGTCGATGCTCCTAAGGACCTGGCCCAATTTCTCGTCCCTCGGCACTACGCCCTCAATCTCCACGCCACCATAAACCTCTCTTAGATACTCTTGTACATCAACATTATGATTGACTATCAGTCCATTCAATGTTAAACCATACTTATTATAATATCCAATTCTTATCTCATCGACTTTGTCCTCTAATGATTGATTGTTATGTTTGATTGTTAGTCAAGTATAAAAGATCAAGTTGACATGTAAATACTATACTACTCACCTGGTACATTGAGCTTATCGACCATATATTTAGAGATTCTCTGTGTTAATATCTCTGTTAGTCCACATGATAGTGGATAGAGTGTGTTGTCCAAGTCAAACAAGAGAGTATGTATACGGTTATGTTTCTTCTTTATGTTGATGTTGTTGGTCATGTTGTTGTTATATGTTTGAGTTCTCTCTCTCCCTCTCTCTATCTCTATCTCATGAAGTGTTGATGAGTTATAAGATTGATTGATTAATTGAACATGCAACCTTGGTTGGTCAAAGTTGTTGTGATTGAACACACACCAAATGCAATTGGATTATTACCATTTTGGGATAGTTTCTGATCTCTTTGTTCTTTGTCAGAGGTAGTACTTAGTTGTAGAATGCGTGGTGGGGTCTCAATCCATACCTTAAACAATATTACCGGTTATAAGTATATTATTACCATAAATGGATCACTATTTTCTTGTAAACTTGATATCTACATGTTGAAGACAACAACGACAACAACAAAAAGACAACTATAAGGTTTTATTCATTTCGTAATAATAAAAGAAGGGTAAGTAATAATTTATAAATGACCTCTCTGACTTGTTTGACTTGGAATGTATTTTGTGGTTCACCTACAACAAATACTCCTGTTGCAATATACACTCCAAGTCTCTCAAGTTGATCAGATCAGTGGTCCAGTTGGCTTCCTTCAATTGTTGGACAAAGATACAGATAGATAATTGAATGTGATACAGATAAATTAGTTTGACGACAAAAAAGAAATGTTTTTTTTTATCAATTTCAAACAGATTTACTGTGTTGGGAGTGCCTTTGGTTCCGGTTTTACTGTGCACACCAGGAAGGAAAACGAGGAACTTGTCGGTCTTGCCACTCCCGAGTGTGGTAAATGTTGCTCAACGCCTCACACACAAACAAACAAGCACTCTCTCGCTCGATTCATGATAACTATCTTCATGAATGTTCTGTTTCAATTCAATTCGATTCAATAACACAATACATACTTATACATATTTATATATTTATATAACATACATATTATAATATAATAATACTTATTATATTCTAAAAGTATATTAATATATATATAAAATGGCATCAATCATCATTGGTTCACAATGGGGTGACGAGGGCAAGGGAAAGCTCGTCGACATCCTCTCGCAGGACTATGACATTGTCGCTCGTTGCCAAGGTGGTGCCAACGCTGGTCACACCATTGTCGTCGACGGCAAGAAGATCGCTCTGCATCTCATCCCATCGGGTATCCTCAACGAGCGCGCCACCTGCGTGCTTGGCAACGGACTCGTCATTCACTTGCCCACCTTTTTCAAGGAGGTCGAGGGTCTGAAGCAGAAGGGCATCAAATACGAGAACAGACTCTTTGTCTCTGATCGTGCTCATCTTGTCTTTGACGTTCATCAAGTATGTGTCTATAAGTCATGTCTCTGAGTGTCCAACTCATTCTAACCTCCTTCACTCTTTCTCTTCTTTCATCTTCTTTCTCTCCAACTCTCTTCTCTCCTTCCTCGTTACCTAAACTCAGATCTGTGACCAGTTGAAGGAGGCTGAGCTCTCCAACGGTGCCTCAAACGACAGTATTGGCACTACCAAGAAGGGAATTGGTCCGGCGTACAGCAGCAAGGCCTCTCGTGGTGGCCTGAGAGTCTGTGATCTCTTCCACTTTGATATCTTCAAGAAGAACCTCACCAGACTGGTTGAGAACAAGAGAAAGGTATGTACTACATGAGTGTCATGTGATATCCTCGCGAGTGGCACAGGCAGGCGGCTAACACAAAGACAACAACAACAACAGAGATTCGGAAACTTCGAGTACAATATAGAGGAGGAGCTGAAGAGATACGAGGGCTATGCTGAGCAGATTCGCCCATTCGTCATCGATTCGGTCTACTTCATGAACCAGGCCTTCAAGGATGGCAAGAAGGTCTTGATCGAGGGTGCTCAATCCACTATGCTGGATCTGGACTTTGGCACCTACCCATACGTGACTTCGTCCGCCTCCTCCGTCGGAGGTGCCTGCACCGGTCTGGGTATCGCACCCAACAAGATCGTCAACCAGATTGGAGTGGTCAAGGCTTACACTACCCGTGTCGGCGCCGGCCCATTCCCAACTGAGCTGCACGGAGATGAAGCCGAGGCTCTGAGAAAGGAAGGAGGCGAGTACGGTACCACCACCGGTCGTCCAAGACGTATTGGTTGGTTGGACGTTGTTGTCCTGCGTTACACTGGCCTCATCAACGACTTCACCGAGCTCAACTTGACCAAGTTGGACGTCCTCAGCAACACTCCAGAGATCAAGATCGGTGTTGACTACAAGTACAACGGAGAGGTTCTGAAATGTAAGTTGTTTGATTGATCGATTGTATCCATATCCAACTGATACTAACTACTACTTTACTCTATAACAACAGCTTTCCCAGCCTCATTGGAGGTCCTTGCTCAGTGTGAGGTCGTCTATGAGACGTTCAAGGGTTGGAACACCAACCTCGCCAACTGCAAGTCCTTTGACGAGCTGCCAGTTGAGGCCAAGGTCTACATCAACCGTATTGAGGAGTTGACCGGAAGGAGAGTCAAGTGGATCGGTGTCGGACAGGACAGATCATCCATGATCATCAAGCCATAAAAGTTGTTGTTTACTGTCCAGCATGTTCCATGCTCCAACATCCAAACCATATATATATTAATGCTATGCTTTCACTAAACCTATGGCTCTGGTCATTCATCATACTTATACAATAATAGTAACAAACTTGATTCTGTTATATCGTTCCAACATCTGGTCAACACTGGCCTGTAGTCTATCCCTCTTCCTTTCCAACAATAAACTAAGGAGAGTTACAACTCACCATCATACTCAACAGTCGAGTCGATCAAGCATTAGTCTAACACAATGGACTCATACTTGTCACCTGACACCCTGTCGTTGTCCCTCTGATCCATCAGTCATCTAATAGTGTTGGACACGTGTCCAACAACATACACAATAAGGTTTGATCGAGGAAGTGGCATGCCATGTTGTTGTTGCCGCAGTCAAGTGCAGCGTATTATGTTTGATTTATCGATGAACTAATGTTTGTGGAGATGTTGAACATTACACCGTCGTCGTTGTTGTTGGTATTATATATCATGTGTGTATTGTTTGGTTGTGAAGAAGAGTATGTACACTCCTCTCTATTGTCTGAAGGAGCGACGAATCTCGAACTCTGACTCAACCTGGTCGATCATCTTGTGAATCATATCAGTGTACTGCTTGTCGCTGGTCAAATCGGACCACTTCTCCTCTGTATAGTTGTGATTGATTGATTGAATGTTAGTCTCGAGTTCACAATGTGATGCCATGGCCATATGAGAATGATTGATCGGATCACTCCAACGTAGTGTGACGCTGTGTCTGTCTATTGTTGCTGCAGCTGCTGTATGTTCACATACCATTCAAGTAGATCTTCTTGACGTTGCAGTCGAAAGCGATTCTCTTTCTTCTGTCTCTCTCGACGAGAGTCTGTGGTGGAAGTCTGTGCAACACCTCCTTCATCACTGGTGTCTCGTTGTAAAGATCAGCATAGTAGAGGCCTATAATGTATAACATGTCAGTTGTATGTTCATTGTGTTCATGTGTCATGAGTCATGTGATGTGTCGTCTTGTCTGATCAATCAATCAATCAATCAATCTGTCTATATATCTGTGTGTCGTTCGTTCATTCATTCGATTCGTACCAATCTTTCTGTACTCCAACCATGAGTTTTGGAGTCTCTTGGCAACACCCTCTGGAATCAACTTAACAAAAGACATTGTTATTGTATATATAATGTAATATAGWAGATATAAAAGATAAATAAGGTTATTGAAAGAGAGAGAAGGTAAGTAGTTAGTGTGTGACCAGAGACAAAGGAATGATGCGTGAGTGAGTGGCAGGGCAAAGCGATGCGCATTCACACTCAACGATGTGATTGAAGTTTTGAAAAAAAAAACAAAGTTGGAACTACAACTCAAAGTGTATTTATGGGTCGCTTCGTTCGGGGTACCAAGGGCGAGGGTGAGGGCAAGGGTGAGGGTAAGGGTAGACAAGGGTTAGAAGAAGAATGGGAGATGGAATGTAAGAAGAATGGAAAAAGGGGGGTTAGGAAGGACCAGTTGGACCGCTTGAAGAGACCAGAGCATCTGAACGTGACAGAGGCTAGGTTAGTTGCATTTACTACATTTACATTGGAAGTCATATTGACTCTTGAGTTGCTCTTGTCGCTCTCGAGTCGGCATTGTCTCATCGCAGTAGGTGTTTAGTATCTCTTGACCGGCTTTGATGTTCTTCTTGGCGCGAACCACCATCATTGCACATGTAACACCATCGATGCGCTCATTGCTCAGTTCAATGTTTGGTAGACACGAGTGATTCATGCATGAGAATATCGGGAAGAGACCTACGCCCCACATGTCCAAACGCTTTGGTGGTGCGGCCACGGTCTTGGCTTTTGACTTGCCCTTGGCCGCCTTTAGGCTCACTGATGGAGCAGGTGGCTGTAATGACGCTGGGATCTTGACCACAGTTGCCGACGAGTTGAAGTTAATCAATCCAAGTAAGTTATCAAAGAAGTCATTGCTGAGCACTGTGTTTGATTGATGGATGATAGGATGTTAGTATGACTCGGGTCCAACCTGGAAGGGCATAAATAGTCCGTGGACATCTACACTTATCCAGCTCCTCTTGTAATATACTATCCATTGAATGTTGGATTGCGTCCCCCGACTCCTTGGCTCCATAGGCCTCCTTCAGCAGATTGGTCACAGGTTGGTACTGAGCCTGTAGCTCGACCAGATTGTCACCGTTGAATCTTGCCTGTTGACGCATGAGTGGACCGCGCTTTAGATGTTGCGCCGTGCCAAATGCCAGGTTGCAATTCTTGGCCTTGCGCTGTTTCAAGCTCTGACTAATCGTCGCCAGGATGCGCTCGGCCAGCAGCAGCTGAGGCTCAGATGGTGCGCCTTTGATCATCTGGCGATACTTGGCAATGGGGTTGTTGCCATCCTCCTTACAACATTGCTGGATGTGGTAGGTGTTCCAGCTTGCATGGCTACACTCCAGGCTACAAAACAAGGCATTGCAGCCACCGCGACATGCAACCTTCTCACCCTCCAGGCATCCCATGCAGTGATAACATTGAATGTCCTTGTTAACCTATGTGGTGTGATTGATTGAATGATTGAGTGAGTGGAATAGTTCCAGGATTGATTGATTAAATTATCAGGTGAACATACCTGAACACACAATGGATGAGCAATGTGAGCGAATGGAGTGTCGACAAAGACGATGTCACCCTTCTTGATGTCGACGGTGGCGATCAATGACTTTTCTTTGACGTTGTCGAGGTAGCGTAGCTCGAGTTTGGAGTAGTGGGCGTCATTGCCACGCAGGATGGGATCATAGAACAGCTTCATCTTGCTGTTGTTCAATCCATTGGTGGCCTGTGTCAACAACTGATTGTGTTTGGTCATGGTCTTGTCTTCGGGATCCACCTTGATATTGAGGATACACTGCAAGTAGTGTTCCTTGGCCTCTTTGTACCTCTTCATTCCAATGCAACAATCACCGGCGCGTAGATATGCACGAGCGAATGTAGGATCAGACGCAGCCGATCTCATTGCATCCTCCAAGCCATCAGCATGTCGGCCCATCTGCAGACAAGTAGCTGAACGATTACAATAAAGTAATGTTAACAACGCTTCGCTTTGTTGTCGTTGTTGTTGTTGATTGTCGTCGCCATTTGAGGAGGATGATGCTGATGCATTGTCGACTGGAGGCAACAACAAGTTGATACCGGCTTTGTACGATGTATAAGCATCGTTCCAAGCTGCACGGGAGTACTCCTGGTTGCCCTTCTCCTTGAGTGATGAAGCTTGTTGAATGACTGACTCTGACTTTGGCTCTGACATTGTTGACATTGACATTGATGATGATGATGAAGATGTTGTCCAACAGACGAGAACACGCTGTACGTGTATACTGTACACTTTGTGCACTATAGAGATTGATGAATGTCAAATGATCTTTGAATGAAAGTTGGTGGTGGGTTTGGTGAGGTCATTCATGTGAGACCTCGTTCGTTTCCAAGTTTCAAAGTCCAAATTGGTAATGTGACATTCATTATTGACTTCACTCACTTATTCATCCTACTTATACATATCCCTTTCAACACAAATAAGAGAGAGATAATACATAAGTCATGGCTACTACTACAACACCAATTGATATCAATGTAGATACCCCTGCTACTACAGAGGACGATAGGCCATTAAAGAAGCCAAGAACAGAGGATGATGATGTGTTAATGACAACTGCCGCACCAATAGATACTACTACACCAACTAGTCCAACAACTTCAACACCAACAAGCACTACTTCAACTGTTACACCAACATCAACGCCAACTTCAACCACAAAACCATTCGATAGTGTAGCCATTAATACTGGACGTGTCAACATGATGATGTTCAACCTACCAAAGAATATGGATACTGGTCGATTCCAGAAGCTACTAACAAAGAATGGTACAACCTATGTCAAAGCAAAGAAGGTGTTCAAAGAGCAGTTCGCTGTTGTAACCTTGGAGGTATGTTTGATTGATTGATCATGCGAGTGAATGCGTCATGTGACTAATACCCATCATTCATTCAATCGATTGATCAATCAAAGAGCGTCGACTTGGTACAACCATTCATCGAGAAGTGGAATGGCTTTGACTTGGATGGTGTAAAGTTAAAGGCACAAGAGAAGACTGGTAGACAAGACAATGACAACAACAATAATAATAACAATAATAATAGGAATAAGCGTGGAAGAGATGATTCATCATCAGGTGGTGGTGCCGACGCACCATTGAGATTGATAGAGGACATTGTCAATCCATGGCACAACATCGAGTATAGCGTGCAGTTGGAGAAGAAGCGCGCGGGCGTCTTGGACGTGCTCACCAACATGACCACGGCCATCAGGAAGGAGTGCACAAAGCAGCCCGACTGGCTGCTGGAGAAGAAGGGCCGCCAGCTGGCGTGTCCGCTCGAGGAGATCATCGCATCGCCCGTCGTGTCCAACTATCGCAACAAGTGCAGCTACACGATCGGTCGCAAGGAGGACCAGACACCCTGCATCGGATTCGCACTGGGTCGCACAGGCAATGGCATCACGGTCGTCGGCGATCCATCCAACTGCCAGATCATATCTGGTCGCTCAAACGCAGTGCGTCGCCATCTCGAGACGTACGTCCTGGCCCATGCGCGCCCACCCTTTGACAAGATGACGCACACTGGCTTCTGGCGCCAGTTGACAGTTCGCGACTTTACCACGGGCGAGACGATGGCCACTGTTCAGTTCAATCATCGTGGACTCACCGAGCAGGAGATCAAGGACGAGTCAGCTGCACTGATCGCACACTTTGACAAGGCCAAGGGCACGGATGCCGAGGTTACCAGTCTGTCAATCCAGTGCTATGACGGCGTGTCCAATGCTGCCCCAGTCGATCTTCCCGTCCTGCTGATCGCCGGCACAGAGACCGTGGCCGAGCAGCTGCTCGGACTCAAGTTCAACGTGTCGTCAAACGCATTCTTCCAGGTCAACACCAAGGCCGCCGAGCTGCTCTTCTCCCGCGTAGTTGATTGGGCCGGCGTCTCGGCGCGCAACATTGTGCTCGATGTTTGTTGTGGCACTGGCACGATTGGCCAGTGTTTGTCAAAGCAGGCACGCCATGTCTATGGTCTGGAGATGGCGCCAGACGCCGTCGAGGACGCCAAGGTCAATGCCAAGTGCAACGGCATCACCAACGTCGACTACATTGTTGGCAAGGCCGAGGACACTATGGACGGCCTGCTAGCCACCATTGGCAGGACGTACAACGATGTGAAGGAGGGCGAGATCATTGGCATTGTCGATCCACCACGTGCAGGCCTACATCCCAGCGTCATCAAGTGTCTCCGTCAGTTTGAATCGATGAAGCGATTGGTCTACGTGTCTTGCAACCAAAACTCACTGATACAAGATGCGGCCAAACTATGCAAGAGCATCACCAACACCATGAGAGGCACGCCCTTCAAGCCTGTCAAGGCATTGGCCGTCGACCTCTTCCCACACACAGAGTTGGTAGAAGTTGTCGTACTCTTTGAGCGCATTGACCTCCATCGTGCCCCTGCCGTAGTAGTTGCCCCTGTAGTAGTCGCCCCTGTTGCTGTTGCTGTTGATGTCGCGTCAACAGTTACCGATGCACCTGTCGTAGCCCCAGCCACATCCAACGAGACTTCAACAACAACGACAACAACAACTTTAGAGAGTTGAGGAGACACCATCATCAACAACATCTAAATCTGAATAAACATGAAGTAAGTAATGTTGTGTTGTCATCTCGGCTACACAATGAACAGGCCTGCCAACATCACATCAAATCAAACAAAAGGCTTGTTTTAGATGCCATCTGTATAAGTCAAGGGTCGAGTACATACACAGATGGGTGTACGATGGTGTTCATTGAGAACAGTGTGTATGAGATGTGGGGATGAACCCCCTTTGTCTGGATGAGCGCACAACTTCAAATGGACATTGGTGTGAGAATGTATGAATGGTGTGAGCTGTTGACCAGATGGTACAGTATTACCTTATTTGTTAATGAAAAGTCAGACGAGAGGAGATGATGGATCATTATGGGTGTTGAAGTAGCAAGGGGGGGTCAATGACAACAAGTCAATCCATCCATCCATCATTAAAGACATATATATATATATATATATATTTATATATTTCTATTTACATTAATTCACTCACTCGCTGTCATCATTATAATTTGCCCGCCTATTTACAAACAAATATACATACACATAAACATACACACATACACACATCAAAGCCGCGTAAATTTACAATACATTCAATATTTCCATCAATCACTTACCTATATATAATATTTATTCGCTTAGTTTATAGTTTCCAACTAGGCTTCTAAAGAGCGATTGGCTTGAAAACAAAGTAATAATGTCATCGTCTGGTGAGCAAAGAAACGAGTATCGAGTTCAAGATTCGGCTTTTATTGTTTCTCGTACGTTGATTGATATTTGATCAGATTGATCATTGGCCGAATCGGCCAAAATGTATTCTTACTAACTAAATTGAATATAATAAATAGTTGTAATCAATGCTGTTATATCATTGATTGTTTTCTTTGCATTCTGTTTCATTAGAAGACGTTACAAGAACTTCTATCAATACAGATATGAGAGATCACATCCTGGAGTGGACACGCCACCTTCAGATTCATTCTTTGGATGGATTCCTTCAACATTGATGTATGAGAATGAGAAGTTAATCACTCATGCAGGTCTGGTAAATATCATCCTTTGATCATTCCAATGATAGTTTACTGACAGTCATTCATTCATACAACAACAAATTAGGATGGATTCTTCTATCTTAGACAGTTAAAGACTCATTTCTGGATATGTTTCATATTAATGATTGTAACTGCTGTTGGTCTATATCCAACTAATGCCCAGGGCACATTCAATGACTCTAGAAAGCCTGATGAGACTGAGGTTGTTGGTCTGGCAACAGTTTCAATGTCCAACATTGCCAGAGGCTCTCGTCTCCTCTGGGTACATTGGGTATTCACACTCATAGTTCCGCTAGTTGTCTGCGCTTTCATCTTTAGAGACTATCGCGAGTATACAAGAAGACGCATTCACTTCAAGAGCGAGTCTAGACTGCTCAACTACTCAATCTACTTCAAGGACATCCCCAAGCGACTGTTCAACAAAGACGAGTTCTATCACTACCTCGACCGATTCTACCCAGGCCAGGTGAAGGACGTCACTCTCATCAGCCAAAAGATGCCCATATACAAGGATATGAACAAACGAGAGAAGTTCATCAACAAGTACGAGGCGGCCATGGAGACGACCGCCAGGAAGAACAAGACTCAGTACACCAAGGACGGTTTCTTGGGACTGGTCGGCCAGAAGAGAGAAAAGATGGAGTTCTTCCAGGAGAACATTACCAACTTTGACAAGGGTATCGAGACAAAGAGAGCGAGCTATGAGGAGAACATGCCCGGCCATCGATGTGGATTCGCAGTGTTCAATCATCGCTCCAATGCAAAGATCACACTGCAGACAATCATGGACAAGAAATATCCATACAAGATGGTGACCTATCCCGCACCAGACCCCTACGATGTCTACTGGAAGAATGCTGGCATATCTTACAAGTCATTCCTGCAGCGCACTTTGGTCGTTTCAATCTTTATCTTCTTCTTGGTGTTCTTCTGGATGGTACCCATCACCTTTATCTCTGGTTTCAGCAACATCGCAACCTTGCAAAAGGTCAAGATATTCGACTGGCTCATTGATCTCATCAACAAGTCCACCATCTTGGCTGGTTTCCTCCAAGGTTTCCTTCCATCACTCATCATGATCATCTTCATGGCCATCCTTGTACCTATCATCAAGTTGGCCTCAAGACTTCAAGGATATCATGCACATTCATTGATTGATAAGTCAGGTATGTATATGATTGAGAGATAGAGATATTCACTTACTAACAACCAATCAATCAATTCAGTATTACGCAAGTACTTTATCTTCCAAGTTGTCAATGTATTCTTGATATCTGCAATTGCTGGTTCCATTTTCCAATCGATTGAATCAATCGTTGACAACCCTAGCAGTGTGATCACAATGCTTGCATCATCTCTTCCAGGTCAAGCATTCCAAATGATTAATCTTATCATGATTTCAGGTAATTATTATTCTTCAATCAATCAATCAATCAATCATACAAATAACTGACCAATTTGTAATATTATAACAGCATGCAAGCCAGTATTCAATCTACTTAGAATATTCCCATTGATAATTATGTTTATCAAGTTGAAGTTCTTTGCAAAGACACCAAGAAAGATTGCGCGTGTACATCATCAAGGTGGCTTTGGATACGCCACATCATATGCCATCGACTTGTTATACTTCCAAATCCTGCTGGCATACTCGACAATGACCCCCTTCATCCTGATAGTTGGAACATGGTACTTTGGCCTGTCGTACCTTGTGGCCAAGTACAACATTGTCTGGGTCAACACTCCGGACTACCAATCAGGTGGCTCGTTGTTTGGCCTCTGCTTCCGCCTGCAAATTGTCGGACTGGTCATCTACCTCCTGCTTATGATCGGTGTTTTCAACCTCTACAAGTTCTTCTACGGCAACCTTACCATCATCCCTCTGGTGCTGGTTCTCTTGTTTGCTCTGTACACCGAGTCTATGTACAAAAAGAAAGCCCAGTACGGAGTGTTGGATACACAAGACGCAATTGATCAGGGACAGCAACACCCTGTGTTCTACGACAAGTGTATCTCATTCCAAGAGTACACCAACCATTACCAACCACCATTCTACAGAGAGATGATGTCGATCCAGTACCCCAACAATGAGCAGAGTACTGCTTCAGGCCCTTCGAGAACTTAAACATTAATTATTAAATATTTGTTCAAAATAATTATTATTACGCCAGCTACATCACATCTTCATCGACAATATTGTAATATATCTTGGTATTACAATGCAGGGCATACAAATTGTTCCCATAATTTTGAAACCATCAACATCATCAGGTTCAACCATTATTTTCCATCAATTCAGTATGGCAATAATAATAATAAAAAATATAAATAATATTAATATTTGTGATGTTGATGCTGTGGACAACGAATAATTCGTATAAACACTTAACCTACAACAACGTGTTTGGCAGGTTGACTTCAATTTGAAGAGATAAAATTAGTTCAATCAAACAACTAACATAACAACAACATCAACACATAATCCATGCCTCCAACTCTATAAATTCCAACTACAATCACAAACACAAACACCCCTGCTAATAATAATGTCACGCCTCCATTTAAGCTTCTCACTCTCTCCATCATCTTCCAAACAACTTGTTGTTGTCAATCACAAGTGGGTGTTGAGTGGGGGTTATCGGAACGATGAGCTGCTAACAATTGATCAAACCCCCTCCAACACATACACACAATTGTTTCCAACTTCAATCAAACTCCACTTATGGCATGATCAGGATTTCATTGACATCAACACAACCCACTCACTTATACTCAATCAAACATTCAAACATACCACAATCCCAAGTACTGTTGCCCAGGTCATCATTGCCCCCAGAGGGCCAATCACACTCAATCATACGCGAATATATTATTTATTACTTACTTAACCCATCACGATCATGTATATCAACTGTTGATGGTGTTGTTGGAAATGAATTGCAACAACTCATTCACTCACACCCATTACACACCAATCATCTTAACACACACACACACACACACACACACTCACACACATCAAGACTGATCATAAACTAAGGGTGTCGCCTTATGCCTTCTCCACGCATCTCCTCTTGTTTATATACATATATATATATATATAAATATGTGTATATGTGTGTTTGTGTTTGTGGTGTTGGATGATCAGATGTCACACCGCTCACTTTTAACTCTCCACTCTCCAAACATACCCTCAATTCCACTTTTGATCAAACACATAGGAGTACATGTACAACTTCCTCCTGCTTACTTACTAATTTACTTTACTTATTACTATTTCTCTCTTAATAATAATATTAATAATATTTAATTAATACCATCTAACAAACCATCAATCACAGAAAATTGATCAATTCCAGGATCCATCCCATCCCAAATTCTTTTAAAGTGAGTATCAATAATTATTCCATGGACATACATCCATTCATTAAATACCAATACCATTGATTTATTGATTGATTGAATGATAGATGGATTGATTGATTGAAGTTTGAGTGCGTGTGTGCGAGTGTGAATCAAAGAGTGGTTTAACCTCTCAACTCATCTTCATTCGCACCACGCACCATCTTATAATCCAGGAGAATAGAGAATGGAGATGGTTGATAGAAGAGATGATAGGTGGTGGTCACATCTATACCTACATGTTTCAAACATACTTACTTACCCATTATACATGTAAATAGTTATAACAAAACAAACAGATAGTGATTCAGAGAGAGATACATACATTAAAAAATGATAGAGATAGATGCTTCAACCTCTACAACTACTACTACAACTGTTACTACCAATGAAATTCCTCAACAACAACAACAACAACAATCGATAGTTGTTGTTGTATCTTCCTCAAACCAGGAACAACAACAACATCAACTGTTGAACAACTCGAATCCTTCAGCTACTGGAGGATCGTTGAATGTTGTTGAGATGAAGAAGAAAAAAAGAGATAGAAGATATGCTGGCTGCGAAGATAAGAATGAACTGTGTGCATTGGATGAATGCTCGGCAAGCCATTACTACGTCCATCCTCAGTCACCGCAACAAAGAAGCAATCCAATCCAGTTGGCCAACATTGAGAGTCCAAAGGAGTTCTACTTGCAGGGTGGCTCGTCATCGCCATCCCCACTGACACCATCCAGCGATTCTGGCGACATCACAACAACTACTACCACCACGACCAGACATCATCATAGGTCCAACTATTCACATCGTTATAGTCATTACTATGACAACAACAACAACATCATCAATGATGAGGATGATGTTGACATTGACGACGACTTGGAGGATGGCGCCAATGACTACCAACCAATGGAGATCGACCAGTGCTTCTCAGGGGATCCACTCGTTACCGAAGTGTTACGCGACGAGAAAGAAACCCTTAGTTTCATGGAGCGAAGGACCATTGAGTTGGAGAGTGTAGAGTTGACAATCTCCTCGCTTCAAGAGACCCGCGAAGCCATCCGCCGGGACCTAAAGATGAAGCGCATGTTCCTTAGGTCGATCCAGAAAAAGAAGGAGGAGCATCTAAAGACCATTTCAAAGAGCTACTATAACATTGCCACGCGATACAATCTGTCTGATGCTCGATCTCTCACACTTATCCTGCCCGAGGAGGTCATGCTGCATATCTTCAAATTCCTTTCGCCGTCCGATCTGTGTCTGGGTGTTTGCCGCGTTAGCCAAAAGTGGAGAATGCTGGCGTTGGACCTATCACTGTGGCGTGAGATCTGTCTGTCACGACGCCTACTCGATGGCACAACCTTCCACGTGCCGCCTCCCTCCTATCTACGTAATCAATCAATCCACAATAAGCCAGCGCCGGTGGTCCTCGAGGAAGATGACGACGAGGACATGATGATGATCACAGAGAACCACAATGGAGACAAACCAGAAGTGACCCGTAGTCAACTATACAATCTCCAGTCGCCACAGGTATCCCAACAAACAAAGACCACTACCACCTCAGTCAGTAGCGGCCCAGTATGGACCGAGAACTGGTACATTGGCGAGTTCAGAAAGGACTCTAACTGGAGGAAGGGCAAATATGGCACGACCATCTTGCGTGGCCACAAGGAGATTGTTTGGAGCCTGTTGTACGAACCAGAGACAAACACACTGGTCAGTGGATCAGAGGACATGACCGTCAAGACTTGGGACTGCTCAAGGATTGGTGAAGGCAGCCAGTTCAATGACGACTTGGAGGACAGCAAGCGACGCTGTCTGCGAACGATGAGCGGCCACAAGAACGGCACGATCTGTCTAGGCAGCACTCCAAACCGCATTGTCAGTGGCAGCGCCGATGGCTCAATCAAGATCTGGGACCGCCTGGACGGTTCCTGTATCGACACTATCCAAACGCACTCAAGTGTCTGGTGTCTCCAGATCGTTGGAAACTCGCTGATATGTGGCTGCGTCGATGGCACCATGCGCGTATTTGACCTCAACACCTCTCAATCCCTGCGTACCATGCGTGGACACACTGCGCCCGTCCGATGTCTCCAGGCAATCAATCACAATGGCCAGGACCTGGTGATCTCTGGCTCCTACGACAAGACGATCAAGGTGTGGGACATGGACGCACGATGCGTCAACACGATTCGAGCACACACTCACAAGATCAACTGTATCCAGTACGAGAATGGACAGATGGTCAGCGGCAGCCACGACAGTCTGCTCAAGGTGTGGGACATGAACGGACAACTGATTCACACGCTGCAAGGCCACGAGAATATGATCCACTGTCTGCAGTTCAAGGGCAGCAAGCTGTTGAGTGGCTCCACCGACAGCACCATTAAGCTGTGGGACCTGAAGAATGGATCGCTGGTCAACACGATCAAGGGCCAGTCGGCAGTCTGTTGTCTCAAGTTCAATGACTCCAAACTGATAACAGGCTACGAGGATTCAACCATTAAGATATTCGACTTTTCATTCTGAACAAGTTATTAATAACATTATTATACTATTACGATTGCTTTGTAACAATCAACTACTACTACTACTTAATCGTCTGTCTGATTCATTAGTTTATGTATATTGATGTTGACGTGATGCATATGACCTTTTGTAGCCAAGTATTAAAGCAAGAAAGTCCATTGTGTCTTGTGTTTCCATGTTTCCGCGCGTGTTTCCGCGTGTTTCCATGTTTCCAAATGTGTTTCCACGCAGCGGAAACAAGCCAAGATTGGACCTCATTGACTATATAGGAATGCTGCAATGTTAACATCTTGAACCATAATGATTGAATGAGAAAATACAGCCGTATAATTGCAAAAGTGCAGCTACGATGGTGAAGAGATGCCATATTGGATGGCTACTGAATCCATTGTCGAACTTGCCAGGTGCACAACACTCTGGACAACGTGAAGCGTAGATGGTGGCGCCAATGACGTAGGATGCGCCCACCAGTGACAGACGCCAGAACGCCGGCCACACATAGGCGATGCCCTCCAGGGCGATAATCTGTGGCAGCGGTATCAAGATAAAGAATCCAAACACAATGAAGAAGATTGCTCTCATCGTGCGGAAGCGATATGATTGGAAGAATGTCAACATACTAACTGATATACCAACGACACCCAATATAGAGATGGCAGTCATATATACTATTCTTGCAGCTATTGTAATAGATTGATTGATTGATTGGGTCAGTGAGTGAGTGGATGTGGACGTGGACATGTAGAGGGATGTCGACAACATACTTGGATGACACTTTAGAAGATAATATAAGATTGGATAATAGGATCCAACGATCATTAGACTGATTCCACAGTAGTCCAGACGTGCGAACCATAAGTATGATCGACTGGACACAGAGCAAAAGGTATGGAAGATGGCAGAGAATAGCATCTGAGCTTGGGCACAGAGGAAGAACACCGTAAAGATGAACTTATCGGTTGGTGAAGGGTCGACCAGTATGTACTCGAGTGTTACAATCATCAATATGAAGAACATTACTGTCGCCAACAAGTCTAGATATTATGAGATGTGATGGAGTTTGAGTGAATATAAATGATCGAGTGATTGAATGATTGAATGATTGATTGATTGATAGATCAAACATACGAGTCCAAATGTTGAGAGTCTCATTATGTATACGGAATAGACTCTTGATACATAGTCGATAACTAAAGTTAACTCTGTAGCCTGTTTGAATGTACTCATTGCCTTGCAAGTATGCAGGTAGGTTATCATAACTGTGCAAAGAGTATTGATAGTTCTTGGGCAGTATCGGTGGCCTCTTCTCACTACTCGTCGACAACGATGATGTCACTACTCTTTGTTTCAGCTCTGGAGATTGAGGTCGAGGGTCGAGGGTTAGGGCAAGGGTCGAGGGTTAGGGTCGAGGGTCGATCATACCTGCTGATGGGTCATTACTAGTTGTTGACTGTGATGAAGATGATGATGAAGTAGACGATGCATCTTGATGATCAGACTTGTTATCAGATAGTAGGATTGCATTACCAATTGACTCTGATTCTATTATTGAGGAGTTGTTGATGGAGTTGTTGCGTATTGGTTGTGGTGAATCGTCTGTATTGGTGTTATCATCTGAATCATCGTCTTCGTCATTCATTGGCTCATCGAAATCCTTCGCCTGGTTGACTAGACCAACCTTCTCATGTTCCTGTTCAACAGATGATCCAATTACAAATGATGTTGCTTCATTTATAATTGTCTTTGCTGTTATCATTATTTAATATTTATATATATATATAACTGTATAACTTTATATATATATATTTAAAGATATATATATATATGTAAGTTGGTTGCTAATGCAAGAGTAATGTAATGTAGTAACTACCTCTATGTGCTAAGACACACCATCGGCAGACAGAGCATTGCATGTTACTTTTGAATTGAAATGCCGAGAGGGCGACATCGATTTCTTTGTGTTTTGAACACAAATATCTTTTCATTCATTCCAACTCTCTCTCACATCTACAAGTCATTGTTATAATCTGTCCCAGAGATAAAGGAACAAATAATTAATTACATTATAATAGTTGATATATTATATATAATATAAAAGTTAATTAAAGACTGACTGATACTAATACTCAAGTTCAACAACATATTTAGGTGCCAACAATCGGTATATTAAGATTATAAATCATAAGGTTATAAAACAAAGTTAACCTGTTTATTAGAACCTAATTAATGGTTTGTTGTTGTGAACATGTGATTGAATGATTGTTTGAATGATTGAATGAATGAATGGATGGTATCCAACAAAGAATCAAACTTTATTAATAATATATGTTAAAGACATTGGGTCTTTGATCAAACATTCTCATCTGCAAAGATATTTGTTTGAAGTGAACGATGGGCGCAAATGGCAAATGGGTACCTCAACCCTGGAACCCACCTCCCATCCCAACACACTTATGCATGCGCCAATTAAACAGTGAGGGCGAAGGGAAGGACCACATGAGCTGTGATCAAACTTGATAAAGTGATTGATTGATTGATAGCATGAACAATCAATCATTCAATATCATCCTATCTCACTCTTTATTCGTGTAATATATATATATATCTGTTTCGATCATGATGGACAAGTCATTGACATTATGGTTGACAACCATTATGACTGTGATGTTGTTGGCCACATCATCATTGCCATTGACATCAGCGACTTATAGTATTAAAGAATCAGATGCAGGCAAACCAATAATCACTGGAATACATAAAGGTTATGGAGACTCTGGTCTACCCGATGTTGACAGTCTCAACTATGACCTGGCACTAGTCCGTTTCGTAACCAACTACACCCTCACTGCCAACACCACCCTCGTCCTATCCTACGTATACGATGCCTGTTACAATTGCATGTATCAACCCTTGATATCAATGACCAAGTATGTATACACCATCACTATCACTCAATCAATCATGGAACCATCCCATCACTCAATCAATCACTCACTCAATCAATCAATCACATTAGTCAATCAACTAGTTATATACAACTGGCTACACCATTTGGATACAGGATCAATGCTACTGTGTATGACAGGGACAATCACGTGATATCATTGTCACAACCATTATCTTATGAGTTTGGCGAGAGAGGCGTGTATGATATCAACATCTTGTTGATAGTCAATCAGGCCTCCAAGTTCATGACAAGCAGCGTCGAGGTGCAGCTGCAGCCCGTCAACCCATTCATCCCGATCGCCGTCGCCTTTGCCATCTTCTTCTTCCTGGCATTGGTGTGGGTGTTTGCGCTGTACCGCTACCGCGCCTACAAGGCCGAGTCGCTCGAGTACCAGCTGCAGCAGATCGAGGTGTCGGTCGAGCCCAAGAAGGACCGTCTGCGCTCACTGGACGCCTTCCGTGGCTTCTCAATCACAATCATGATCTTTGTCAACTATGGTGGTGGCGGCTACTGGTTCTTCAATCACAGCTACTGGAACGGACTCACTGTGGCCGACCTCGTGTTCCCCTGGTTCGTCTTTATCATGGGCGTGGCCATGCCACTCAGCTTCAAGGCTCTGGAGGCACGCGGCACACCCAAGTCGACTGTGATCATCAAGCTGGTTCGTCGCTCCATCACCTTGTTCCTGCTTGGAATGTTCCTCAACAACGGCTATGACCTTGGCCATTGGCGCATCCTTGGAGTGCTGCAGCGCTTCGGTGTGTCCTACCTCGTCGTCGGCCTGATCATCCTACTTGTGCCCGTCTGGCACACCAGCTACGACGGCTCGCACGAGGAGAGCCAGCTGTTCATCTCATCGTCGATCCAGGACAACCACAAGGCAAGGAAGTCCACAGCTGGCCTCATCGCTGACATCATACCATACTGGATACAATGGGTTGTCGCGCTTCTCGTCCTCACTCTCTGGTTCCTGCTCACATTCCTCGTCGACGTGCCAGGCTGTGGCCGCGGCTACCTCGGACCAGGCGGTATCTCTGATGGAGGCCGCTACCAAAACTGCACGGGTGGTGCTGCAGGCTACATCGATCGCAAGATCTTCACGCTGAACCACATTTACCAGACGCCCACCTGTCAGCCCATCTATGACACGGGCGCGTACGATCCCGAGGGCACACTGGGCCACCTCACCTCCATCTTTATGTGCTGGCTGGGTGTCCAATGCGGACGCACCTTCCTAACATTCCGCACCAACTCTGAGCGCATCGTCCGCTGGAGTGTATGGGGTCTTGTACTCTGTGCCATCGCCGCCGGTCTCTGTGGCATGTCTCAAAATGGTGGATGGCTACCAATCAACAAGAATCTCTGGACACCATCCTTTGTCATACTACTCTCTGGCTTTGCGTAAGTAGATGACGTCACTCAATCAATCAATCAATCAATCACTCACTCACTCACTCGCTTCCATAACATTAGGTTCTGGGTACTATCAATCATGTACCTGCTGGTCGATGTGTTCAAGGTTTGGAATGGAGCACCATTCGTCTATGTTGGAATGAATCCAATCACTATATACATGGGTCACGAGATACTTGGTGGATACTTCCCATTCTCATTCTACACGTAAGTCACTCTGATTGTTCAATCGTTTGATTGTTACTAATCCATCCATCCAACCAATCAATCATTAGTAATCCAACAACACATACATTGTTCATGTTGTCCAATTGCATTGGAGTTGGATGTTGGTTAGTGATTGCATATATGATGTACAGGAACAAGGTATTCATCAACATTTAAGATTGATTAATCATGATGATGGCCTAGACAAGGCCACAATGGTCAATAAATGTATCGATCCAACCCAGGTTCATGTTCAATGGACCCTCAGGTCTCGACCCTTTATGAAGATAATAATGTCACAGTACAGAGATACTTTTATTGGTACTTTGGTAAGTGTATTTAGATGGATTTGCCACCCCAGTTACCAATACACATCTTTACTTCTGGATGCTCATTGGTCAATGTGCTTGGATTGATCTGGCCGGCATCTCCTTGGTAGTGTGTCTGACCATCATTGTCCCAACTGATCACCCAGGCCTTCTTGTTGAGTCTGGCTTCGAACTGATCGGCATTGATGGTCAAGGTCCTGTATCGGTTCATACATCCCATGCCCTTGGCCTTCTCAAAGGTGAGAGTGACACTGGCGGCGCCAGACAGGTCGACGTCTATATAGCTCCAGATCGAGCTGATGGTTCCTGGACCAGTGTGCACAGGCAACTTCTTGTTGTCCTGATCGATGACGGCGTGGTAGGTGACGTAGGTGGGACAGGTAGTCACACTAACGATCTTTTTCCAGGCGTCTGATGGGCCAACCAGGAAGATTCGCCACTTTAAGTTGGGCAAGTAGGCCGAGGCATCGAACATATGAGTAGTGACATCTTTCATCTCCTCCTTTTGTTCGTTCAGGAAGATTGTGGTCATGCCAGCGCCGAGGAAAGCAGCTGCTTCAAGTAAGTAAATAGCAATTGGAACAGCGACAACTTCAGTCATTATTAAGATTATTATATGTATAAAAATGAGCAGAATTATGTGTATAAACTGATTGACTGTGATTGAAGAAGAGAAGGAGTTAGTTTGAGTTGGAGGTCGCGAGAAGGTAATATTTAATTAATCCAAAGATTGGATTCATTATTTTTTTGGGTGAAGACAGTGATAATCACAATGACTTGGAATCCACGGCACAAACCCCCAACTATCAGACAATCATAGAAACAAACAAACGATATCCTTTGTCCATGGTCGTATTTTGAAAGTCCAAACGACATGCAACTGATTTTAGATTAAATCTCCCCAGATTGATCAGATGTAGGGGTGTTGGTGAGCTTCAATAACCATGTTTGTAGAATGACCAATTAATGTAATGATGGGGCAGACACAAGGACAAAGAATTGGAACCAGCTCATATGTGTACATGTGATAGTCTAAACATGTAAATATCAAGCAATTCTAGAAGTCTCGCTATCCAATATTTGTCAAAGGTTCATTAATTAATAAATCAACACTACACTTTCAATCTTAACTTATCTTATCTCTTTACAAATAAAATTATAACATGGGTTTAGACTTGGCACCAATGGCCGACACTTGTTGCGGCAATGTCATCAAGAAGGTCTTTGCTAACCAACCAGACGATGCAGTTGTATGTTTAAACAAATTAATATATTATCTGATATCACGTGACTAATAACTCCAATCACGTGACATCATATAATTTCATTCCAAACACTAATTCCAATCACTTATAATCAATTAGAACATCCACCATCAATGCTTCAAGTGTCCAGACCTCCCAGAGAACACTTGGAGATTATTCTATCTTGCCAATAATAGCACATGGTTCACAATGATCACCGTTGTCACTCGCCCAACTTTCAAAACATACCATGTTGCCCTCGACCAAGATGATCCCTTCGTCCCAATGAAGAACTTCAATGGTACCACAGAGACCATTTGGGGCTATGTTGACATTGACCTTACGGGAGCCAAAAATGCAGACGTCACCTTCTCTCGCTCAAAGCAAGCTGGAAAGATCAATGACTATGCCGTCCATAGGATTCCAAGTGAGAACTTTGACAAAGTCAGGCGTAAGGCCTGGGTCATCTACCAGGGCTCAGAGTATGCCGACCAGACACTGTGGATCAATCCAACTGACCTCTTGGCCTCACATCCCAGCCTAAATCCACAAGTTGGCCGCTGGAACTTGAATGGAACAGGTGATCTTATGCGGGCCTATGACGCCAATCAATATAGAATGAAGAATAGATAATCTGATGTATCAAAGAAAGTGTGTTTGTGCCGCATGGACTAATAAAAAGGATTTAACAATCAATCACATTAGTTTACTTGTTGACTGAGCTCAAGAGGGTAGCGTTGTATCTTGTACCTGCGACGGGGATTGTTGCCAAGATCTTCTCTACACTCTCCAAATCCTCAGGGGTCAGTTGCACCTGTGCTCCATGGAGGTTCTCCTCAAGACGGTGGATCTTGGTGGTGCCTGGGATAGGGATGAAGTTGGGACAGCGAGCCAAAACCCAAGCGAGAACAAACTGTGAGGTGGCAACACCCTTATTCTTGGCAAGCTCCTCAAAGGCAGTGACCAACTCATAGTTCTTCTTGAAGTTCTCACCTTGGAAGCGAGGAACCATGCGTCTAAAGTCAGTTGGGGCAAAGTCCTCTGGTGACTTGATCTCACCAGTGAGGAAGCCACGTCCCAATGGTGAGTAACAGATCACTGCCACATCGAGCTCCTTGCAAGCCTCGAGTATACCATTGGACTCAATGTCCAAACTCCATGGGGAGAACTCCATCTGCACAGCGGTGATAGGATGTACCTTATGAGCCCTCCTCAAAGTCTCTGCACTACACTCACTCAATCCAATATACTTGACCTTGCCAGCTTCAACCAACTGCTTCATAGCACCAATGGTCTCTTCAATTGGTCTGTTCGATGGAGTGTTGCATGTTACTAATATGATCACTTGATTGATTGAATGAATACTTACGTCTCGGGATCAACACGATGTTGGTAGTAGAGGTCGATGTAGTCGGTTCCAAGACGCTTGAGACTGGCGTCACAGGCCTCAAGTACAAACTCTGGCTTGCCACAGATCTTGCGCTCACCAGTTGGTGACACCTTTACTGCGAACTTTGTGCAAAGGAATACCTCCTTTCTTCTGGTGTTCAGTACCTTGGCCAACAACTCTTCATTTGCACCATTACCATAAACATCCTAATGATTGAAAGAATGAATGAATGTGTGAGGATATTTCTGATTGTTTGATCGAGTGAGAGAGGGTAGGGTGACTTACAGCAGTGTCCCAGAAGTTACAACCGAGGTCAAGGGCATGGTTTAGAACTTTGATGGAGTTGACATCATCAAAGTTATCACCATAGTATGCGGACATACCCATGCATCCTAATCCTATTGTGGATACAAGTTGGTTAGAGTTACCAAGACGACGTGTTGGTACAAGTTTAGATAAGGTATTTGGTATCATTATTATTTGTTGTTCGAGTTATTTGGAATTGATTGGAATGGAATGATGACGATCAAACATTCATTATAAATAATTGTCAATAATCAATCCATTCATTCCTCGAGTAACAACGAATTGCTCCGAATGGAGTCCTTCCATCACATTATTTTAAAATAATATCATGATTTTGTTCTTATTGGATTGTTGAAACGTCATAAGTTTGTGGTCTGAATTAATTGGTTGGTTCATATCATCTTAAGATGATTGTTATTGGAACATGTTAATCGAGTGTGAACAACAGATATTTATCTGTTGATGTGGGGGGTAAGAACTTGATTCACATTCATTGTTGTTGAGCCTCACACCAAAGGCCATTCATTAATTGGTAGTCCGTCGGGTGTAAGTGATTATATTAATTAATTAGGTTTGATTGATTGGACCATACAGAGTGTTACGAATAAATGAAATGGAATCAAGATTGTCAACATCAACGCATCATCTTTGTAATACCAAGTCATCATAATGATGCACTACCGCAATGAAGTCAATGAGTTATTCAATCAATCGATCAACTATGTAACATGGTCTTAAGATGAATGAAAATCATTGTGTACATACTATGTAAGATAATGAATAATTGATTATGTGATTGTTTGTGTTGTCACTCTTTTCTTTGATTGAATGAATGAATCAAAAACAATAGTTGATGTTAGATTAGTTGATTTGACTCTGCTTGCAGGCTATATAAATATATCAATTATATGTTGTCATCTTTCACTAGACTGCGTAGTAGTAGTAGCAGCAGTGTTAGACTACTCTGGAAGTCACAACAACAATGTTATACTACAACTACTACTTCCACTAAAAGATTTAGTAGAACAAATAACAATGTGTTCATCAATGACCGGCCCCACAACAACAACAACAATAACAACAACAATAACAACAATAACAACTATGTTATTAGTGAAAGCTATAACAAAAGAAGTATAAGAGTTGGTCAACCTTATGAAAGTGATCCCGATGACATGTTACCAGATGATGATGACGATGTTTCAAACACCACAAAGAAGAGACAACAATCTATCCAAATACCGGATGACCTAAGCATCCCCTTCGACTTACTCTCACCGAAACAGAAGTAAGTATCTCTGTCTGATTGAGCATGACCAACCAACCAGCGTACTAATCAATCAATCCAACTAAACAAAACAAAGACTATACAACTTGGGAAGGTTGACAAGTGTAAATGAAGTGTTGATGTTCTATGAAACGCACAAAGGCAAGGCATACTCTAGTTTCTCAGCATCAGCAAAGTATTATAACTTGGTGATGACAAGTCTAAAGAGGATGGGCGTAGAACATCAGGTGATGGACCGTGTATTCAAGAATTATCAGATGGTACAACAACCGAAGGACTCACCAGAGGACAGCCAGTTCGTCTACAACACATACATGTCATACTATTGCGACCTGGGCGAAGTGGGCAAAGTCGAAAAGATCTTCAAGACCATACCAAACCCCGATGTACACAGCTATACAATCTTGATTACCACATATGTCAATGCATCAATGATTGATCAGGCCATCAGCACATTGGCACAACTCAGTAAGGTTCACACACCTTCGTCCGCATCGTATCAATCACTTCTGGTCAAGCTGGCCGAGGATGGAGACTTTTCACAATGTTATCGCATACTCAAACAGATGGTCCAGGATGGCATCGAGTTGGACCGGTCATTCTATGCATCACTGCTGCCACGCGTGGCAAAGGATCCGTCAGGACAGGCCGTCGACCTGTTGTACAGCCAAATGATCAACACCAAGAGCGTATTCATTGATGATAGACTATTCCGACGAATGGTCGAGGCCCTGGTTAAGTCGGGCAACACTGATCGCTCTGCACAGGTGATCCAATTGTACGATTCATTGCTGCCACGCTCCGAAAAGTACTTGACCAGCGTCACATTCTATTACATCCTCAGGTGCTGTCCCCTTGACAGGGCAGAGCAGCTATGGAGAAAACACATTGGCGATCAAGGCTCGGCACACTATATGACAAAGTTCAACGTTAGACTATATGCCAAGATACTTGGCATGTTGCCAGACCCTGGCACTCAAAAGATAACTCAACTGTTCAGACTGGCCCAGAGCCGATTCGACGAATTCAACAACATTCCATTCTTCTTCAATCTCATCTTACACGCGCACCTCAAGGAGAACAATATTGGCCAGGCATGGATAATGTATCAACTGCTCGAGAGACAAAAGATAATCAACACCGAAACCTATCATGCGATGATCATGTATCTGTGCCAGGTGTTGGACACAAGCAACCATTTGGAAATTTGCAAGAGTATAATGATGTCACCGATGTTCAAGGTGAACAATGTCACACCCAAATTCTGGCGATCCATTCTCGAGAGACTGATTGAAACAGACAACAATGTCAATCTGATCAAGACGGTCAGTTTGATCAAGGAGCATACCAATCGATCAGTCAGCGAATTTCAAGATCTTTTGAAACCATATCTCTTAAGAAAGTCAACAGAGATAGAGAATCGAATGAAAGGGAAATCATTGTAATACAAGGATCGATCATTCATTCATTCTGCGAATCATGTTTCGAAATGGCATCAGATCTTTCAATTTTGGATACTTACTTTGTCAATTGTCTCATTCTTTCGCATGTGTCATTAGCACACCCTGGAATCTGTGTCCTTTTGCCAACAGAGTATCCTCCAATCGCGATGACCACCAACCAATTTTTTGATCAAAACTGCCCCCAAACAGATTTTTTTTTTGGTATCAATTAATTGAGAAGTCGGTTGGACCTCATGCCCCCTCTAAGAGTCCACATGGACTCGTCGACAATGCGAAGGCTAAATCAGGCCTTTCTCACAATAATCACTCGACTACAAATCATCACAGTAGTCATTCATTCATTCATTCATTCATACACACTCTCGACAGCAACACGACAACTCTTTATTATCTCTTTAATATTTATTTTTATTTATTGTATCTCTACTATTACCTGTAATAATACTTTTGATACTTGTATCAATTTACATCATTATCGTACAATAATGGAACCATTCGATACCTTAGTTCCAGTCTTTAACGATGAGCTTGATAGAGTTGAAAAGATTGTAACACTTGACGTACTGCCTTCAGTAAGTTCTCGCTCACTAATCAATCTCAACTCCCAATATTATTACTAACTTATAATATCGTTTAGGAGGTATTCTACCTTATAATGGATTGTGTAGACAGTAGAGATATATTTACAAACGTACAATATGTCTCAAAGTTAATATTTAATAGTTGTCAGGATGAATATTTTTGGAGACAACAATGTATTCGAAGATTTGGTCATACTCCAAAGTACAAATGCAGGTTGGATTTGGACCCAAGACCTTGGAAACAGTTCTACGTTGAGAATTGTCGAGATAGATACTTGGTGGTAGGCTCAGAACTGTACACTGATCGACTGAATGATGTGCAGGAACATCTTAGAGCTCAAGGATTGGTCAATGTGGACACAGCTAATGTCAATGGATTCCGAAAGTTACCCGAACCACTCAATTATGATGCCATACTCTTCTTTAGTTACTGTGGATTCCATCAAAACTATCTTGGCGATCGACTTGCCGACTTTGTCGACGCTGGTGGCGGCGTGGTCCTCGGCACCTACTCACACTGTGGCGGCGGCAATCGTTTGGAGGGAAGATGGATGAAGGAGAATTACGATCCACTCAATGGAGGAGTCACCAGTCGCACATTCCAACTCAAGTTGGGTCAGATATCTCTGGAGAATCATCCTGTCCTGCATGAGGTTAATAGCTTTTGTGGTGGCAGTCAGAGTTCACATGGAGATGGTACACTGGCCAAGGATTCGGTACTCATTGCTTCATGGGAGAATGGACGACCACTCATTGCCGAGTTGCCCACAAAGAAGGGCAAGATCATATCACTCAACTTCTATCCACCATCATCCAACTCTGTCACTGACAGTTGGCCATCTAACTCTGATGGTGGAAGGCTCCTTTCCAATTCACTCAAGTATGTCAAGAATGCCAATTATTGATCGATTGTTTGTGTCCAAGGTGACCCTACCTCTCGAGAGAATAAATAGAGCCTGGCCATGTCGATTCTTTATTACATTGCTGTTACACTAATTGGAAGTCTATCCCGTTCACATCGTCGTCGTCGTCGATGGTCAACAGACAGTCCAACATCCTCTCTATCCCATCCATTATCTATGTGGCATCTGTACCTGTTGAGGTTGTGCAAATTGAGCCATCTGATGTTGCTGCTGTGGTTGTTGTTGTTGCTGGATATTTTGTTGTTGCTGTTGTTGCTGTATGTAATGTTGTTGGTACTGTTGCATTTGTTGTATCTTTTGTTGTTGCTGTTGTTGTTGTAGTTGCTGTTAGCTGTTGTAATTGTTGTGGAGTGAGTTGTTGTTGTTGTTGTTGGACAGGTTGTTGTTGTTGTTGCATTGGCTGTTGTTGCATCGGCTGTTGTTGCATTGGCTGTTGTTGCATTGGCTGTTGTTGCATAGTCTGCATCTGTTGCATCGGCTGCATCTGCTGTTGTTGTTGCATTTGCTGCTGCATCGGCTGCTGTTGTATCTGCTGATGTTGCATTGGCTGTTGCATCTGTTGCTGCTGTTGCATAGGCTGCTGTTGCATTTGCTGTTGCATCGGCTGCTGTTGCTGTTGCATTGGCTGTTGTTGCTGTTGCTGCTGCTGTTGCTGTT